CTTCCAACCCAAACTATTCTATGATTCTCATAACTGTTTTCAGCTGATGTGTTCCTTTCCCATCCCTTCCTCATCAGTCTGGTGAAATTCTTGTTTCTGCCTGAACTAATGAAAACAAAAAGCCATCTATTCCCTTTTTCCTGAATATAAATTCTGACACGGAAGACTTTATTATTCAGGCATTTAGAATTTTAGAAGATTTTTTTTTTGTACCTTCTAGCAAAAGTACTGGAAATACAGGAATGTGTGTTTAACTCATGCATAGTGTTATGCTGCTGTTGTTACACTTCAAAGATACCTTGTATAGTTAAGTAATTCTGATCCATAAAGAAGTATTAAGCAAAATATAGCAAAGATGTAATTCAACTTTTTAAACTTCCGAAGAAAAGCTTTGCCTTTTTTTTGTTTTCCTTCTCCAGATTGGCTTAATTGTAACCAAGAATAAAAGAGCTGAAAAAATGACAGAACTTTCAGGTAGGGAGGTAGTATATTTTTTTTTTAAATTGGAGATGTTTTCATGTCTTGCATTGATGTTCTAAGTTCTACCTGGATGACACTGCTGAATGTGAGGTAGCATTAACACTATTTTTAATTTAAAAAAAGTTATCTGAAACCAGAGTCTTTATTTTTATCTGTTTTGGTCTAGAATTGTCATTGTGTGCTTATTTGTGATCAAGTCTTATGCAGATTGCAACTAAAATATGTTTTGTATCCCCTAGAGTTAATTTCTTACTGTTTGTGAATTTTGTATTTTACCTCATCTGTGTGTTCTTGTGAGAACTGATCAAGTGTTAAGAAGCAAGGTTTCTTTGGATCCTGCCTTCTATCTCTAGCAATCTGTGTGGCTTCAGAGACGAAGTCTTAATTTTTTCTCTTTATTCACCTGTAAACTGTACTGAGGAATTTGAGATCAATCAATCCTTGAATAGTACTTTGAGGATAACAGAGGAAACTAAATGGTTTGTGCTGAAACACTGTGAGACACTTTGCACTCAGGTTAAGCACTTAATGATACACAACAGTGATTTTATTCTTTTTAAGTTCGTACAGTTTCTAATAATTGAGTGCCTATAAAGTAAATGTCTTTCTGTTCATATATTGTTTTGTTGTTTTCTACATTCTGATCAAGAGATCAGTTTCTAAGGAGAAACATTGAGTTACAAGTCACAGTCTGAAAACTGTTGTTGTACAAATACACTTCATTAAATATGTAGTTTAAATATTCCAGTTCTTTTAACTTGTTATTTCAGGTGAATTGTTTTTTTCACTTAAAGGTAACGCAAAAAAGCACATAAATGCTCTGAAGAAAGCAGTGGATATGAACTGCAGTGGAGAGCCATCTCTGTATAATTCCCTGAACTTGGCCATGCAGACTTTAAAGTTAGTATATACATGGAGTTTTCTGGGGTTTTTTTTGTTTGTTCCCCGTAATCAGTATAATGCTGGCTGTGAATTTCTGGAGGTGCAGAGACAGTATTTTTTACAAGTAGCATCTTGCATTGTACTGCCCTGAGTCTTTAAAGGGCAGCTTTATGTCCTCTTACAATACAACCTGTTAAGTTAAATATGCTAGTAGTGCAGAAGTTAATTTTCTAGCATAAGATGCTTCTATTTAGAGGTGTGCTGCTTATAAAAAGCAAAAATATTTTAAAATTAAGTAGATGATGTTATGTTGTGGATGCATATGGTGATGAAAGACTGCAGGTGTTTTTTACTAGAGGCATAAGTTATGAGAGAGGGGAGAGTTAGGGGTTAATAATGATAAGAACAGGAAAAGAAACAGCATTGAATCACAATAATCTGGTGGGAGTTTTGGTATATTTTAGAAAGGTAAATTTTCGCGTAGGATAGATTTTAAAAACTTTTTTGCCATGTGAGGTATTGAGGTGGGATAAACATTTGTGGAAGACTGTTTTAACAAATAATTATAGCTAGAAACACTGACAGAACAAAGCTAGTAGGCAATGTCATAAAAAATTATCTGAATGACTAGCTGGGAGGGAGTTTTTCATTAAGAACTAAAAGACAGTGGTTCAAAGTAATGGATTTACACCTATAAACTGATGAGAGTTTTTTATTTTAAGAAGTCAGGAAGACTTACTGCAGTGTTGCTAGTTTGAAGTGAGGTTACACATAAGGTACAAGGATAACTTAAGCATTAGGGCAAACAATCAGATAACTACATTCTATTTTAGATACTGGAAAGGTTTTGAAAGGTGAAATTCTGGTACTCAGAGAAGGATTTTACCACAGTCTTTTATAATTTGTAGGGGACTTCATACCATGTCGTCTTCTGACCCTAGTTTGTTAAAGTCCTTAGAAACTTTTGGCATACAAGTATCTTAGTGTACAGAAGTAAAATAACTATATACTTTCTTTAGGCACATGCCAGGACATACAAGCAGAGAGGTTTTGGTAGTCTTCAGCAGTCTGACAACATGTGATCCAGCCAACATCTATGATCAAATTAAGGTACAGAAGTGAAGTTTGACTACTACATTGAACACCCAAGCTATTAGACTAAAACCAGACAGTTGCAGTGTCGTTGCCAACTAATTTTAATTTAAAAATTTGAAACTTTTGATTGTTTTCTGTTCTGCATGTGAATTTGAGTATGCTTTCTTTTTCCACATGAAGCGTTTAAAAGCAGTTAAGATCAGAGTATCTGTCATCGGCCTCAGTGCTGAAGTTCGAGTTTGTACAGTACTTGCCCGAGAAACTGGTGGTATGTATCTGAAGTTCAGTAGTTATACTACTAATACAAGTTAAAATCAAAATTAAGTAACTAATTTCTCATATATTCATTAATGCATTTTGATATTTAAGGATGAATACTCTATTGAGCTGGCAGAAAATTTAAGGGTTTCCTAAATCTACAAAATACGTAGTATTTAGTGAAATTATTTTCAGCTGGTAGCTGCGTCTCTAGAGAGAAGTAATATATATATTTTTAAAATGTAGTGTTCCACATATAAAGATATGTGATGTGGAACTTAATGTTAACATGTTAATATCAGTTACTACAGTGGTAATTCTTAAGAGTATTGTTACTACAGTTGGAGAAAAAGCTATGGGCCTGCATATCTAATTAAACATTCTGGTATTATTAATTTTAAAACTTGTCCTTTTCAGTAGCATTAACAGGACAGTTTTTTTGGAACAGGGTTGGCTAAATTGTTTTTTGTACTTCAGTTGTTTTCTGTCATTTGGAGAACATGTTTATATTCTTATCTGATCATAATCTGAGAGTAAGGCATTTCTTTCTTTGTGACAGGAACATACCACGTTATTTTAGATGAAAGCCATTATAAGGAACTGCTGATGCATCATGTTAGTCCTCCACCTGCCAGTTCAAATTCTGAGTGCTCCCTTATTCGAATGGGTAGGATACAGTTTTATTGAAGTCTTAGCACAGGATGTGCCAATCTTGTCTTTTTTTTTTTTTGCATTTTCTGTTAAAGCCATACAAATAGTTAGAAGTATAATAAAGAGATTGCACAATTGTTTTTTTATTTTAACTTTTTATTTTGCAAAATAGATAATTTTCTTGATGTTGTTTCTGCAAAGTAGTCAGCTTTTAAATAAAATTAATAATTAAAACAATAAGACAAATTACTCAACTGTCGTTGGAAACAATAAAATGGAATGATATTGCTTGTACAGTAATTGGTATGAAAGTAATACTTAGAAATGAAGGATGAAAAGCTTCTTGTTTCTCCCTCTGTTTTTGCCCTGCAGAAGGCAACTATTATAAGCTAAATTGACTATAAGAGCCATCTGCTTGGCCATGTAGTACATGTTTGTTAGGACCACTGTTGTATTCTTTCAACAAATGGATTAGGTACCTTTTATTCTCCTCATGTGTTTCTTAATAAATTTAAGCCTGGAGTTAAACCAGAATAGATTTCTCACGCTAATCTACCTGTTTTCACAGATAAGAATGTATGTATTTTTATGTGTGGATTCAAATACTGAAGAGGTTACTTGTTATAGGTAAAGCCTGAGCAACGGTTGGAAAAATTAACTGCCCATTTTGACACGAGCTGTAAAAAATATGTGGTAGAAAGAATTACATCTGTTACAGCCTCTTTAAAGTGCTATAGTCTCATCTGTTATATACTGCACTTGTAAGATGTATATATGCTTGGTATCTGCATATAAAAACACTTTCCCCTTCATTAGAAACCATTGTTCAAGTGAACAGCTTTTTAGCTGTTCTTCAAAAATGGTGTTCCGATGAGCTTCAGTTAATATGAAGTCTATGAAAAGACTTCTTTTTTTCTTTTTTTTCCTTTTTTTTTTTTTTTTTTTTTTTTTAGTTGGGAGAAACACAATGAGAGATTTGTTGGTGGATATAGGTAGACCTTTAGGAAGAATTTGATACCTGGTAAGAGTGTGTTACTTCTGTAATAGCAAACAAAAAAAAGAGAGAGAGACATTAATGTTTAGAATAATCTTTGAACTTCTCCACTGAAGTAAGAAACTGAAAGACTACTTGAATATTTAAAATTGGTAAGAGGGGATGTTTTTCTCTTCAGGTTTTCCTCAGCATACTATTGCTTCTCTATCTGATCAAGATGCAAAGCCATCCTTTAGCATGGCGTAAGTAGAGTTATGAGAATTCAATGAGCTTATTGGAGTTGAATAATAATTAGCCATATTTAGAAAATCTGCTTGTCAGTGAAAATATTGCAAAATAGCATGAAAAAATAGTAATGTCTTGCGACTTCTCAGTAGAAATTTTATTTCCGTTTGCACATCCAGTATGTGGCCATAGTTACCTCTGTTAAATATGTTTATTTAAAATGTACATTTAAAATTTTTTAAAGGTGTTGTGTAGTGATTAGAACACAAGTGTGCTACAAGGTATTAAGGTAATTAATACCAATTTTATTTGCATTCCTTGATTCAAGTATTTTTAGCACTATGAAGGTAATGATGAGGATGAAGAGTAGGGTATTACCTGAAATAAAGTATTTTTTTACCTATTTATTAATGTGACTTCAAAGAGAAGTTTGAAATAGAGGCCTCATTTGATTAGTGTACCAGTGCTCTTCTCAATGAAAGGAATGATGGTTTTCAGGGGTGATAGAGGAGTCTGAATTTTCAGAAGGGAACAGTGTTTGCTGTTTGAAAGAACAAGTACTAATGTGAATCGTAAAGTCAATACAGAATATTTGTGTGTGTGTAAGTAAAAATACTGATGCTGTTATCTTTCAATGCTGTTATCTTTGTAACTTTATTTTTTAAAGACATATTGGCTCCTTTATGTGGGAAAATTTGATCTTTGTTCTGTTTCTGTGGGAAAATAGGGTGAGATATCAGTAACCACATCAGTTGCTTTCTGACACTTCCATACACGTGGACCTGTTGCATGGAAGCTACTGAAACTTTAAACAATTCGCTGCGAGAACTATGTAGTATTTGTAGTTACGTGGTATTATGGTGTTACTTCTTGGGTATTAAATTGTCTCTCTCTACTCTAGGCAATTGGAAAACAACAATGAGCCGGGTCTTACACTGGGTGGATATTTCTGTCCCCAGTGCAGAGCCAAATACTGTGAACTTCCAGTGGAATGCAAAATCTGTGGTGAGTAGCAAGAAAAGGTGAGCAGATAAATTATGAGTTAGTTGTAAGAGGATTAAGGGGTAGAAAAATTCAACTATATTTAAGGATTAAGAGCCCAGTCGGCTTTAAGAAGCCTGCATTCCTGTGTCATGAGGTGTCAGCTTCATACAAGGGACTTTCAGGACTGTACCTGTAACAGTTAAGCTATATCATATTCCTTAGTATAATATAATAAACTAAAAGCCCTAAAGCAAAGGGGGGAAGAAGGGTGAATCACATATGAATGGTAATAATTTCCTCAAGAAACCTGATTTAACGGTGTCATGGTTTAACCCCAGGCACTAAGCACCACACAGCTGCTTGCTCACTCCCTGCCGGTGGGATGGGGGAGAGAATCAGAAGAGTAAAAGTGAGAAAACTTGTGGGTTGAGATAAAGACAGTTTAAAACAGGTAAAGCAAAAGCTGCACATGCAAGCAAAGCTAAACAAGGAATTCATTCACCACCTCCCATGGGCAGGCAGGTGTTCAGCCATCTCCAGGAAAGCAGGGCTCCATCACGTGTAACAGTTATTTGGGGAAACAAACACCATCACTCCGAACATCCCCCCCCTTCCTTCTTCCCCCAGCTTTATATGCTGAGCATGATGTCATATGGCATAGAATATCCCTTTGGTTGGGGTCAGCTGTCTCGGCTGTGTCCCCTCCCAATTTCTTGTGCCTACTCACTGGAAGGGTGGTGCGAGAGGCAGAAAAGGCCTTGACTCTGTGTCAGCACTGCTTAGCCATAACAAAAACATCCCTGTATTATCAATACTGTTTCCAGCACAAATCCAAAACATAGCCCTGTACTAACAACCATGAAGGAAATTAACCCAGCCAAAAACCAGCTATGTTAGCTGAAACAGAGCTATGGCCTGGCATCAGCAGTATTATAGCAGGCTGCATTAGAGCTTTGTAGTTGGGCACCATTTTAACTGGTGATGAGAAACAGCAGAACTGTCATTGCCAAAGAGGAGTTGTGCATTTAGATTGAATTGGAAAACACTCCTATGGTTGTGTTTTGTGTATGGCATGAATATGAAAAACTGACTAACTTTACAACTGAATTGTAAATGTACTTGTAAAGACTGAGTTACACCTTTTAATTAGAAATTTGGGCAACTTACTTGTTTTTTAATTTACATTTGAATTTAATTCTGGAAAAGGTCACAGGTTTGGATTATGGAAGCTAGTGAACAAATAATGTTGTTCCGTAATTCTTAAAAGCTCTGAACCACTGGTTAATTAAAAAAAAAAATCCTTTTTTGTTTAATACAGAAAAACTTTTCAGTAAGTCCTGTGTTGTAATAATTTTGATGTCTCTTTATTTGCAGGTCTTACATTAGTGTCTGCACCTCACCTGGCTCGGTCTTACCATCACTTGTTTCCTTTGGATGCCTTTCAGGAAGTTCCCCTGGAAGAATATCAGGGGGAACGGTATGCAAGTCATATTTGTGATAACGAGTGTACTTGTGGACCCTGTAATTTTTTTTTTTCATGAAAGTAAGAAAAGCTGGCAGCAGCCAACTGTTGAATGTTTGGGCATTTTTGGGCACCTCTGGCAATAAGAAATATTTGTAGTTCCCACTCAACAGTTACCCTGTGTGTTCAGTTGAATAGCTGAAACAATTGCTGTGAGTTGTTGCTATGTATGAGATATCTTTTAAACACCATTTTACACAATCTTGACTTTTTTTTGTTGTTGTTGTTAAAATACACAATTTTGCTTTTAGGTATTGTCAAGCTTGCCAGGGAGAAATGAAAGATCAAAATGTAAGTATGTTGAACTTCACTGGAATTTGCATTGAGGAGTGTCAGAAGTAGAGATGATCCTTTAGTCTTCTAAAGTCCAGAAAAATATTTGTGGAAGTTTCTCTCATGGTTAAGTAGAGTTCTCTGTTCTAGAGTCACACCTTGTAGACTGCAAAGTCTATAATAGCGTGGGAAGGGATTTCCTAGAGAGTTGCATAAGTAAGCTTCCACTCTTAGCCAGTTTGAAGCATCTACAGTGATTCAAGCTCAACCCTTTGGACATACTTGCTGTTAGAAACTTTAATTCATTTGGGTTTCTGTGATGTTAATAATGAAACAATGAATAACACTGTCTTGATGACACAACTGTTGCCCTACTGTAATGCTACAGGGGTGATAATTTTTCTTCTAATTTGACTTGGTTTTCTATCTTTTCCACACAGGTTTACATATGTAAAGTGTGTCAGAATGCATTTTGTGTGGACTGCGATTTGTTTGTTCATGATTCTCTGCACTGCTGTCCTGGCTGTATGCACGAGCAACCTGCTCCCTTATCTGTATGATGTCATCTCTTTTTAGAAATTTTTGTATCTATGTCATTCTTGCATAAATCTATTTTGTTTATTCAGTCATAGCTTTCACTGAGGCACCTCAAAACAAGAAGGACCTAGATGATTACAGAGAGATGAACACGGGCTTGGGAGCAAACTTTAATTTTTATCTAATGTATTAATGATTTTGTTACTGTTAATATATTTTTGAATTATCTATATCTGATTTATTTTCTTTGTTCTTGTCTGAAAAGCTGTGGCTTTTTCTGAATGTTATTGCAACTAACATGTATATTTGTAAATGTGAAAGTGATAAAACTGGTTTGTATGACAATGGGGTGATTCATCTTTCTTTCATTATTTGTTCAGAAAAGAAGCCCTGAAAATATAGTTTATATCTCAATTGTTAAAAACCCTTGCTTTTCTTGGATGGTGGAGTTCTATAGATCAAAATATTTTTTGTAAGAATTTAACAAAGATGTTTTTGAGCAATTAGTTGGGGGGATTTTTCAAATATTAATTTCAAGTATTGTGGCTATTCACCTTGGCCTTCAGTAAGGCAACTCAAATACAGCTGAAAATACACTTTAGGTTTTAATGGTACAACTAAAAGCTAACTGAGTTCTATTACAGCTGTGTCTGTACCTGTGTGGTTTAAGTTTCACTTTCTTGTAGGAGTGTAAGGTTACTGAAAGGCAATGAATTGCAAACGTCTAAGACCTCAGTTTATACAAACTATTGTTTGATGGTCACACTGTTGAAGACAGCAATGCTATTTTGATTCTGAGGCTAAAATTAATTGCCAGAACTGCAGCTCCTTGGCAAAGCCCCCAGAGCAACACACAATAAGGTGGCGGGAGAAAGGGAAGCACATGTGCTTATCTGAACATTGAAGAATGGAAGTTGAGACAAATGCAAGACATTCTTTGTCATTTTACAGTGTCTGTTCAAAGTGTGATTGCAATTTGAACTTGTGAGACTGTATCATGCTACACCTCAGTAAGAGGAGGTTGTGATGGCGCAGTATAAAGCAGTGTACGTCACATCTGTTTTTCTGATGTCATCTTGCGACATTTGTAATACATCAGTGACTGAGTTACTCTGGACGTATCTGACTTAATTTTTTAAATTGTGAGCTTTGTTGTCAGGTTAGAAATAGCAATAACCTACCCTAGCCACTGAACCTTAAAAGTACAAACAAACAAACAGAAAAGCAGCCCCCTATCTTTAGTTCCCTGTTTTTCACACTTATTATATACAAACGATACATGCTACTTCTCAGTTTTCACAGGCAGTTTTCATTTCAAGTCCTTTAAATATGCAAATTCTCCATTGTTAACATAGCTCCTTCTCTGCTTTTTCTACTATTTATGCCTGCAGGCCAGTTAGAATGCAGTAATTCTACTGTGTTGGCAGAAAAATGACTGTTTTCAGCATCTGTGTTTCATTTTGTGCCAAGTCAAACAATCCCCATAAACCTTTTGTGCTATCAGGTGACTGAAGTGCCTGTTACTGTAAAAGGTGTCCTAAAAACTAGCAGAAAAAGGACATATTCATGGGTTTTGGTGTGGTCTAGTAGGCTATTCCAAGCCAAAGGAATGCCCTGGGCATCTGGCTCTTAGATATTCTGATACTGGTGACAGTGTCTTGGTACAATGTTTTCTGATAATATTTTCATCTTCACAATCAGCATTTCCTAATGGGAAAAAAAGGTGTTTTGTCAAAACACTTTAAATCTGTTTTAGCTTTTTCTATTGCTAGATACCGAAATAACATACTTGAAAGTAGAAGCTGTGTAGAAATTGTGGCCATAGAACTCCATTATCTGCTTGTGGTCTGAGTAATAATTTGGCTTGTACTTTTCCACCCTTTTCATTGGATAGGAAGAGCAGTTCAAACTAGGTCCTGAAAAATTGTTATCAGGGCAACATTTTTCTCATGTGTAAAGAATTTCAGCTGTGGCTTTTGTATTTAAAGCAGCATGGAGTAAATGATTCCTTCATCTATACTCTTTGACTGGAAGACCTCAAATGCCCTTTGCTTGTCGGAAGCTACAACCTGCTTAATTCTTGTTCTTTTATTTTTTTACTTACTGGATCTGCCACAAGATGAGTCAATCAGTGAGGTTATTCACAGCCCTGTGAGAAATTCTTGTACTTCCTGAAGATGTTGCGTAATACGGTTTGGACATAAAGTGTTGAGGTAAGAGATAGACAAAAACTTCCTGTGGTGGGGTTGAGGACACAACTGTGGCAAGAAGTTTGAGGCTGAAAGGCACAGTGAGACTAGAGAGCACACTGCTGTGTGGAGTGAAGGGGATTTCGGAAAGGTGAGTGCCTGTGCCTCACTTTATGCTTTCCTTGCAGGAATAAAAGTTACCATCTGTGTTAATGGTCATAACTATGGATGTGCTGAAAATGTATTCATTAAAATATGATCAAAATAATTGTCTGCTTCTAGTTTTGCATAACAATGACAACTCCTGAAGAACTTAAATGATGGCATCCTGGTCTGTCTGATGCAATATGAGGAACAGTTTTAATTCTAGATTGTGATGTAGCTTATGGATGGGAAAATGCCATAAAGTACTAACTCTGAAGCATTACTGGATTGTGCATATTCCTGGCTGAAGGAATGAGAGTAGATGAATTTTTATTTTAAAAGTCACCAAATCCGAGAATCACGTTTCCATATTTAGAAAAAATAAGTGTGCCCATAGTGCAAAATTTTTCAAAATATAGTAGAACTGGAAGACACAACTTCCGTAGCATTTTTTTGCCTTGGGATTTGAAAGCACTTAAATTGTTTCACACACATTTTCTTATTAGAGGGGAATATGAATTTCATAACCAGTGAAAACAACAGGTTGGAGATTCTGGATTTAGAATCACTTCCTTGAGGATGAATTTGTTTGGTAAATGCTGTAAATCTCTTCTGATTCCTCAGTTAAACAAAGCAAAGCTCTTTGGAGGTGAGGTGAGCAGAATTTGACTATATGGAGCTGAGCTGTAGACACATTTCCTGCATTCCAAACCATCACATACAAGATAAGCTGTATTTGAGAAGACTGTTGTAAATCCCAAACATTTAACAAAGCCACTTTATTGGAGACAACTATTAACAGTATGAAGTTGGCAATAAATTTCATTGCCAAATTAATTGTATTTTCTGATGATGAAATCCCAGTTCCTTTTCAAGAAGGATTATGCAATTCCTGCTAGTCACTACTTATACTGAAAACAGTTGAAATTTAAAAATACTGGAATAAAACAATTTCTTGTTTTCATTATATTTCTCACTCTGCTTCCCATCTTCCGTTTGGGATGGTATGTTTTTGCCACCTGTTTTTTTCCTAATTTAAGGAGAAATTCAAAATGTGCTAGAAACATTCAGTCATGCCTTTGAGATGGAAGAATAGAGATGATAGAGATGTGTTTTTACTGAGGCCATTCTAGGTTTTTCAGCTACAGGATGAAGCTTTTAAGGTCTGCCACTCACTCACATCTCCTTGCTCAAATCTCACCTGTTTATGTCTCTTCTTTCCCTCTGTTTTGGTTGTAAAGGTTTCACGTATTTGCTGTTGTCATTATAAGAGCAATGGTCAATCAGAGTTAGCAGAAGTCTCAATTTGACTAGTCAGATATAGCAGTTTATAGCAACTCTGCAGTTGCCTTATGTCTTTTTAGTAAGGTGAAATGAAATGTTTATAATCTGTAGAAAACATGTTATTAAGGTAACAGGGGTGATGGCTGAATGTTATCTAAATGATGTGGGTAATATAATTGGGTAGTCTTCCCTTGTTTTTTCAGAAAATGTCTGCCAAAGAGGACCCTACAATGGAAGTGAATGACAATGAAATTCATGAGCTGAATCCTGCATTGCAAGCTCATTTCCTGCATGCAGCCTTTGATTTTCACAAGTTTGCCAAAGACATGGAGACAGAATTCCAAGAAGTCCATGAACAGTTGCAAAAGAGTTACAACCCTACCATGAGAAATTAACACAGGAGATTAAAGTCCTTCTTGTCCTATAGACCTCATTCATCATGGTCTTTGACAGAAATGGCAACTGCTGGGTTTTATGACACACTTGTTAAATCCAGTGTGTGGTGTTTTTGCTGTGGATTAGTTTTATTTGCCATGAAGGTTAGATGTAACCCATACAAACAAGCACAAGAAATTTTGTCCCATTTGTGAATTTGTCCTGGGAAAAGAGGTGTGTAATTTAATTTCAAAGTACAGCATAGGTGTTCAGAAGTTGGAGAATGCAGCAGAGCATGCCTACAGATACAGTGTGGCAGACACGAGGCTGCAGTCCTTTGACAGATGGCCATTCTATGCCCAAGGAACAAAGCCCAGAGCTGGGTTTTATTTTACAGGTGATTGGAAGCAATGCTTGGAGGGATTTCTGGTTTGATTTATAAAACAGTGTGAGTCTACTTAAAATACTTACTGGTTTTTTTTCTGTGCCACTCATCATTTTGCAAGATATTGTATCCCCCATAAATGTTGTAAAGAAAGAAAACAGAAATTAATCTATAGCAAAACTTGCCTGCATTTTAAGTCCAGAATGATCTATCATGATTCTAGTTACAAAATAAAACACAGGCCATCTGATTTTAACATGTAAACAGAGGAATCAAGCTGCTGCTCCCATTTTTGTATCTGCCTCACTTGCTTTTGTTGTGATAGAAGATGCTTCCCTTTACAGTAAAAATCATAGCTGGAGCTAGGAGAACCTTCTTGATTTTTGACCTTTGTTCACTATACAATGAGTCTCCAGTGTTGCAACACTTTGTTTTATAGTTGAATTTATTAAAAGATTCCAAGACCTCTCTGTCTTCCACCTGTACTGCACCAACTACTTCAATTCTGAATCCTTTCTGGCAGCAATCTCTTCATGTAAGAAGTTAACAGAAATCAAGTTAACTGGGTAATTTTTGAGAGCTCGCGATTTGCTTTCATTAGGTAGGAATTTTTTTAATACAGAAAATTAACTTTTTAAAACTTAATAGTTGAGAGAAACTGATACTTTTAAGTTCCAAGAATGACAATGTATACTTTTTTTTAATTTTCTTCCTAGCTGCTGCTCTGCCAGTTTTGTCTCTCAAAGCGTTGGATCTTTAAAAGCCAGTATTTTGGTGACAAGCCTGTGAAATACTTGGTTTGTACATATCTTTCCTTTTGGCTGTTGCAAGAGGACCATCTTGGCTTTCAGAGGTGCTGAGCCAAGATGGTCCTCTTGCAACAGGCGTGTCTATAATGTTCTCTTGCCACCGGCCGTGTCTATAATGAACAGGGAAAGGTTGAAAAGGCTTGCATTTTGGGAATGGAAGATTACCTTCATTTCTTTTTCTCTCCTGTGGATCCCTTAAGTTTTGCAACATTGAAGATTCCTGTTGTCTCTAGAGGACTTACTTAACAAGACCTCTTAGACCCTTTATGGAGAAGTAGTTCTGCCTTTTCTGTTGATGACCTTTTCAAGTTATTGAAACAGAGCGGAGCAAAGCAACCTTCGCAACAATGGCGGGGTGAACCTGAGGAAAGCAAGCTCATAGTAACCTGTTGCCCAGAATCTAAATTTAAAAGTTTTTTTACTTGTCTCTGCTGCTGTCACTCATTGGCATTACAAGATTCAGGAAACGTATACTTGCTTAATCTTAAAAGGAATAGTCATCTTCTCTCTGCAGCATACAATTTAGGTGGTGGTCTTAACCTGGAGGAGCTCAAACTTCCTGCAGGAAAAGTCTGCAGCGAAACTGATCGTTCAGCAGTGTCTACACGGGCTGCACCTCAGATACTTCTCATTTATCCTATGTCTGGGTGATAACAGCCTGTTAGAAATAAGGGAGTTTAAAGGAGAGAACTTCAAACATGAAGTAACATTTCTGAGTAGAGAAGATACTCTTTCAGGTTAAGTTAATCTTGTTTGTATAGAACAATTGCAAATCATTTGTAATTTTTAATGGGTATCATTTCTTCCTGTTTGTTCTATACACAGACCAAATATATCATCTTGCTCATTGACGTGTATTCAGACTGCTTCTATACTAGCCTTTGCTGAAACCTCTTCAGAAATACTTCCTTAGTTCCCCTTGTTTTCTACAAAGCAATGTAAATTACAAGAAAAATAATCAAGGGGGAAAAAAAAAAAGACACTTAAAATAGAGCTTCCTAACTTTGTTGCTAGTCATGTTAGCTTATATGCTCTAGCTGTTAAAACACTGTATTACCAAAGTATTTCTTGAATACTTGCTTAATACAGTCTTAAAACTACCATCTCATATATATGCTAGGGAAAATGTCTTTTGTAAGCAAATACTACATCTGTCAAATCATCTGCCTTTATTTTTGACAAGCAGCCCATCTTTAAGCAGGCTAACCACAAGAGAAGACTGAAGAGTTTATGTGAGGGTACACAGGCATGGAAGAGATTGTTAGTATCTTGCATCTGTGCAGAGCTGATGTGGTGTCTGACCTCAGGTAGTTCCATAAGATGATGTTGTATTTGCTTTGCTCGGCAACAGTGGTATTCAAACACTCATAAGCATGCTGGTATCTTATTCTACTAGGCATTAATGTGCCAGCTAAAGTGTCTTCTATTTTAATCAGTCTCAATGAGTTGAGTTCAAAGTTCCACTTTTTTCAACCTAGTAGCAACAACTCGTGATTTATTTTTGATGTACAATACCTCAGCTTCACTGTATTTTCATCCATGTTTCATCTGGATTTGGAGCATCTTTAAGTCCTTACAGATGTCTCTTTATTTTTGCATCAAAATTTGCAAACTGTGGAGGTTTCCAGAAGCTTCAAAAGCTGTCAGTAAATCACAATGCTGTAGAAATTGCTTGAAGAAACTTCTTTAGAACACTCAATGCCACAGAGCTTTAAAAGAGTTGGACATTAGCTGTAAGTTCACACACCAGATCAAAGAGAGTGCAATCAACAGTGACAGCTCTTGTCCAGTATTTCTCAATTGCCTGGTCTTGTGACAACTGCAATGGTGGCTTGGCTCCTTGACCCAGAGGACTTTAAAACGTTTAATAACATGAATCATGGAATAGTTTGGGTTGGAAGGGACCTTTGAAAGGTCATCTAGGCCAACCCCCCTGCAAAGAGCAGCATCCCCAGTCTAGGAGTTTAAAATTATCTTGGCAAGGGGTATTGCCACTTTCACCAGTCCTTCAAGACTAGTACAGTTTGAAAGTGCTGGCAAAGTTTGAAACATTGGGGTTTTTTTCCTCTTCCTTCTTGTGTTATAAATTACACACCTGCATTGCAAATAAACGTATATTGTAAAATTTTTACCAGGATGAAACAAGCCACTCTCTTCTACAGCAGGATTAATGTAAAAGGATCAAGGAATAGAAAACAGGATTAACATAACTCTAAAAACCTGACCTGCTTTGCAAATATGGCTATAGATTGTACCCAAGTGATTTCTGAAAAAAAAAAAAAAAAAAAATTTTTGCTTAAAGTCTATTTAAAATAAATTATTTCTATTCAATTGTTTTTGAATAGAAAAAAAAATTTTCAATTTTGTTATTGCTTGCAATAAAATCAATACATGAATCACATATTAAAAAATAATCATAAAACCCTTTAGGGTCAGGACTGCACTAAAAATAATATTGGATGCTAGATTTTGCTACTGTTAAAAACTGCTAAAGGCCACTTTTTGTAACATAATGCCAAATACTAAAACAGGACTAGCTGGTTGAGGCAGATGGCAGTTGTGCCTCTTTAGCAATGAACAGCTGCTGAACAGCAACTAGTTAGAAACTTTGCATCACTGTAAGCAATCTTAATTTACTTCAGCTAGGCAATTAAGAAAAAGCCTTTGACGTGGCTTAGGGAAGTTAGGATTATGTCTTTCTCTTCCTGTCCAGTTATTTGTGGGAAAACTGATTTTCTGACACTTGACCACAGTAGGAAAAGGAACTGAATGCAACCAACTTCAGACCTGTATTTGGCTAGTTTCCCTAAGCAAACCACTGGCATAAACTAAATTACTGTCTAGTTTTGTGGCTGCAGCCTCTATTCTACGAGACTTAAGACTGTAAGGGCTGAATTCTAACTCTGTACTTACCCTTACCTTTCCACAGTCTTGCTTTTTCTGATTTTCTTTTAGTAATGGTACTCACAAAAAGGCCCCAGCATTAGTGTATTTCAGCCATTCATCCAACAGACAGATGTCTACAGAACCTAAAAATAAAAACCACCCCAAAACAAACCACATCCCTAAATTCAAAGTTTGAAAAGTAGAACTTTATTAACAAGCATTTGAGTCAAAAAATGAGCCTTTCTGAATTCAGCTGTCATATCCAGGATTCTAATCAGACCCATAGGATAACCTCTTTTAACATGATGGCACACCGTTTTACAGGCCGTTGCTACTAGTGGCCACAGTAACACACATTCCTGCCATAGCTGTCTCCTAAAGTAGCATACTGTAATCGCTAGTCCTCATGTTGTCATTCAAAAGAAAACAAGAGGTGTTAGAATGAGAAATAAATGAAACCTATTGTGTGGGGTTAAAAGACTTACATCTATTATGTGGTAAAAAGACTTAAAGATGTTTCAGGGAAGTAAAAAATATTTTATTGTTACAGTGCTTCCTAAATGGAGGTCTTTAAGAAATAGCTCATTTCAATGCACATACAATAACTAGTCTAAAATTATTTGTTTAGTTGTTATCAGGGGCAGCTCAATGTTAAGAAAACGCTAAGATTAACTGTCTTGACAAAATTCTGATCTTCACCATCACCCATCAGTGCGTAAGTGTTATACACCTCTCAGTGGGAAAGATTTGTACCTGGCTTGTAAAAAAGAAGCAAAAATTAGTATACAAGAGCTTTTTGTTTTTAAACAAACAAACAAGAATTACTCAACTGCACAGAAAAATCAGAAAAAGAAGTCCCCAAGAGAGTATAGTTTTGTTCTCTAAGGAACTGAACAATATACTGGAGAATTCTGAACAAAGGATTTCAAATAAAAGCACAGGCAGTACAGTAATAAGAACAGAATTGCTCAAAAGTATCAAACTGAAACGTTGATCTTGTCCTGAAAACAAAGTTTAGCTAAACATCCTGCTATCCTGTCTGTATAAAGCAGCAGTTGCTTCTGAAGATATGTACATAGATGCAAAAACTGCACATTACTTAACAACCTTTTATTTTCAAAACAGCCCATAAACAAGTAAGGTAACTCTTAATAATTCAAGTAAGATGTGATGTTAATCCTGATGTAGAGAGATGCTGTAGTTAAACCTCTCATCAAAGGAAAAAAGTATTTTCCTTCATTCCAGCCAAGAAAATACTATTCCACAGCTGCTAAGCCAAGAAGGGGTTAATACTGGCAGAAGCGGTCTTTGAAGAGAGCCAAAAGAACAGATGGAAGTCCTGAAGTTCACAGATTTTGCACAGAATTCAAAACTTGTTGAGAGCTTGTATGAACTGTAGCTTCAAACAAATTTGTCAAGCAACACTGTATCTTCATTTAGCACAAAATTACAATACTTACAATCCTTCAAAATGATGGATATTCAGTTATTTTGCATGCAATTCTCTCTCCACTGCTGCCTCCATTCGACTTTGTTTTAGACCCTACAGGACAGAATTAGTAAAACCTCGTTTTTACTAACATGAAAATAAAAGCTTTAGTTGCAGAACAAAAACATTTTTGAATCATTTTTTTTTTAGTCCTTTACAAATCAAGAATAGCTTTTAATGCTTTGGGGGAATTAGAATGGGCAGTTTTAACAGGACAAAAGCCAAACTACATGTCTTCTTTACAATCAGTGGCTCTACAGAATAATTTCAAATATGTATTTCTTATTCAGTTAAAAGTAAATTAAAGCAATCCACAGTTATATATAATCTGAAGCAAGAAATTCCAAAACTAGTCCTTGAGGATACCCTAAGGCACCGAATCCAACTTCCCCAGTGCAGAGAGTTTAATTCCTCCTGTAATTTTCTTTCTTTGCAAGTGTAAAAAGGAAAATAGAAATCAATACTCCACAGCACAGATTTTTCACAACTACGCTGACAGTTCCTGCTGGAACTTCGCAATCACCTGAAAACATTACTGATGAATAATCTCTGCAAAAATGCCAAATCTGATCCTAAACATGGTATTACCACTTATACATAGAAGACTACTGAAAAATAAACACATTCAGACTTACTCTGTGTGTCTACAAAGACAGAACTGGTTATTTCAGAGTTCTATAAAACACTGGCTATAAAATTAACTAATGGGATCCCTCCAGTGGAACAAAGAACTAAAACAACATTGACTATATAAGCTGGCTCATGTGACTCCTACTCAAGGACAAAAATACTTATACAATACAAAATTCCCTTAAATCTAGCTATCATGAATTAGAATAAGAGATCTAAAAAGCATCCCTCCTGTCAACTTCTTCCTGAAAACAGCAGCACCAACATAAAAGCAAAATTACAAAGACACTTCAAGAAGAAAGTGGGACGTACCAGGTAATACCCAGTGTGATAACCACTCATGTACCAGGCTATCAACATGCTCCCCAATGCTTCATCATCCTCAGCAGAGTCTGGCCTCGTAAATGGCGGAGGAGGAATCAACTAAGAAATGACAAAGGAAATGTCTGTGTTTCAATAGGGTATATATCCCAGTTTAGATAGCAACTGATTCTAAAAGATCAAAATATAAAACTGAAAAATAGGAACCTATCCTCAATGCATTCTCTGAAAAGGAGATAAAATAAGATGGTATTTTCTGAAAACATGTAATTTCCAAAGCCTGGGAGAAATAGGATTCCTGTAGCTTGAATGTACATAAAAAGTTTTATTAGGGGAAAATATTTATCTGCATCAGTGAAATGCTGTTAATCAAACGCAAGGTGTAGTCTCTTCAAATAATTTTTCTATTGGTATTCTTACCAACAGTTTCACTGTCACAAAAATGAGTGCAGACCAGAGCTTGTGCGCTAGATTCATGTAATATTTGTAACCAAATGCATTATCAAATACCTGGAAAATACAGACTCTAACACAGAAGTGTGTTCTGAAAACAAAGACAATAAGCACATTGAGTTAGAAAACTTGAGATCACCAGTACTCATCTCTGACACTTTCTTCCTCATTCTCCTATCACTTACCGGTGGTCCTGCTGGGAAGGGCGGGGGCCAGCAAGACAAAAACGATGGAGGTGCCCTGAATTTTGATCCAGGCTACATTGAAAAAATTAAACAATGCAAATTAAAAAGAAATCTCAGGGATTAGGATTTAAGAGAATTATTTGAAGCAATTCACAAACCTTAAACTAAAGACAACACAATCCCAGCAGTTTAATGAAACCGCAGTAACAACACAGAGTAGCTATTTCTGTGGAGCATTCCATGACCGGAAAAGTAAAACCTATATTACATGTATCACTGAGGTAAACAGTGATGAAAAAGGTTTCTAGTTAATACAAGCATTTAATTTTTTTTTTTCCCAAATAGAAGTCCGTGGTTGCATTCTCACATGAAAAACATATCTAATATTGCCCTCAGTCAAACCCGTAATTTCTCTGCTCCTGTGTGTCTGGGGACACATGCTGACTAAATTCTATTATGTTTGTGAACGTCGTTAAAATGAGCTTAGATACAAATCTATTGATAGAAAAGAAAAAAAGACAAAAGAAAACCTTACAACTAAATCTTCCACAAGCAGTACCATTTAGAAAACATAATGCTGCCTTCAACTGCACTATTATTTAGACTCCTACAGAACAGGAAAGCTGATACCCCAGCCCTCATAATTCAACACAGAAGCTACAGCTGAGAGCTTCTATGACATCTGGACATTACTTTTGCTGCCTTCAATGTCCATTGTAGCAAAACATAACAACTGGCTAGAAACAGCACTATCACAGCCCAGGGAACACCACCCCTCTTTTAAGTTACAAGGCAACTGCAATGCACGCATTAACTAGGGAGAAGGTTTCCCTCACTAGACAGCAGCACTCAAAAGGGCTACACTGTGGGCAGATTATTATAAAATGACATACCAACAAGTTCTAAAACGCGTATCTGTATGTCCATTCCCAAAATGCTGTTGTCTGGTTTCTAGATAATGATAAATATTATCCTATTGTCTCAGAATTTACAATAATATGATGTTTAAAAGTGGTATATGAATTATTTCAGATAAGGATGAGCTTACCCTGCCCAGGCCTGGGGCTGGTGGTGCAGGAAAATGTAGGTTTTGAGGGGAGAATCTTGCTTTCGTGCAGTTGGTTTTGTTTTGAGGTGACTGGGAAGATTTTTCACTTTCGTCTGTTGAATATGGAGTCTCATTTTCATTCTAAAAGATCAAGACATTTCTATGAGATACACTAACCAGGAATTTACAGCACGCAATTTCAGTGTGAAAAAGCTCAGAAAGCCCTATTCACATCCTTCCCTCTCTCTAGCCCTCCTAGTCCTACTCAGGAAAGATCTTACAACCTCATAATCTTATCTGCTCACCATTTTAGCTATGTTACCTTTTACTTGTGAATTTCTTATTATCCCCTCCCTTTCTTCCATTCTGAATTCAAAAAGTAAGGGGATGCTTTCATTCCCTCCATCAGCTTGTATCCATTCACAATGGAAACAGGTACCACAGTGGCACCAGAAATACTGAAAAAGTTCATTCGCCCACTTTCTCCTTCCTTTCCAGAAGAATGAAAAAGCATCCCTTACCTCCCCAGAATTCCCCATCCCATTTACTGTTTCATCGCTGGCTGGAGGAAGTAGATCAGAGAGATTCTGCTCCTCCTGATTTCCATATCCCGTGTAAGTAACAACACATGTGCCTCTCTTCTGATTGATGGAGGCAATAGTTGCTAGGTACACGTTACCGTCCTCAGACCAAATAGCATTACAGCTGTCGCCAACTTTCCACTGCAACAGAAACAAGAGAAGCAAGTAAATACCTATACTAATGATCAGGGAAAAAGATGCCTTTTTCTAAGCTACTTTTTGTCCCAGCCACAAGAAAGATGACTCCCACACGGTAAGTTTTTCCTTTGTATCAAGTGAAATTTGATACAATATATCCTACAGATAAGGTTTATAACATTAGCACCCCCCCACGCCAGAATGTTACCCTCAAGGTGATGAAAAAGCTACTGCTGAGTACGGCAGAGAAGTACCACATGCACTACGACCACCGCTAGCACTTGCGGGCGAGATGACCTGTTTCAAAGACAGTGGGTTGCTCTTCTTTCTATTTCTGTTCTTCTTGTTTTTCCTCTTCATCCCCAGGCGCTGCTCCTGTTTGTCCGAAGGGTCCGAACACTCTCCGTTCTTCAAAGCATTCTTTGGGAAAACAAAGGAGGAAAACAATAAAAGGCAATCCAGAGGCCTCAGCCCAGGGGCCGGCAACGGCCGGGCCGCCCCCCTTTACCTTGAAGGAGGCCACCGCCTTGTCGTACGCCTTGATGAGGGCCGTGTCGTCCCACACGTCCGAGTCGTC